GGGCAGGTGGGGGGGGAGGAGGGAGTAGAGGAAGGAAAAAAATATATCCCTGCTCTGACACAAGGAAAGAGAATGCTGGAGAGTGACGTCCAGGCTCCGCCCTCCCCTCCGGCCACGTGCAAAGACTTGAAAGGAAAGAGGGCGGCGCGAGGCCTGCTGGGTAATGTAGTTCGCCTTTCTTTCCCGGGATGGCGGGCACTGGAGAACCCGGCTCCGCGGGGACGCCGGGATGCGCGTGAGCCTCCGAGGCATCCCAGTGCAGCGACGCCGAAACCCGCGCCCAACGCCCCTGGACGCTGGCGCGGCCCTGGGTGCGGACCTCTGCGTAGGGAAAACTGAGGGCTTAGGCGCGGTCCAGGCTTTCGGGGAAAGGTTTGGTTTGGGGGACAGGAATGCTTTAAGGATGAGGACTTAGGCGCTTAAAGTGCAAAGTCTGTCCTAATGGCAGATGAAAGGGAGCTTTGTGTATGTATTGGCCGGCCCAAGTGGCGTTATTAATGCTGCATTAAATGCTGCTGTCTGTTATTGAGATGCATGTTATAATTAACATTTGAACATCTCTGTGGCAGGGGCAGGATGTTGTAATTGGATATGCACTTTACAACCAATTAATTTTCCATTGGCCATACTGTGGGCTGGGACAGGGGACGTGGTGGCTGGGAGAATTCAATACAATGGAACATTCGGTAATCGCTTAACCAAATCACCAGTGTTTTCTGGGTACCTACTAGGTGCCTGGCATTGAGCTTGGCACAGAGAGGCCTTCAGGAGAAGGATGCTTCACACCCCTCCAAAGCAAGGGATTATCAACTCTTTGGAGGAATTGGGTGACATGGTGTAATTGCCACAGAAATCCATTTACTAATTCAGAGAACATTTGGTGAGCACTTCTACAGACAGGACATGTCTGGAAATGCTAAGACAAGGAAGACCCTCAGTCCCTGCCCTCAAGCTCAAAGTCTGGTGTAAGGATTATAGTCAATGCAAGTATAGGGGATAAGTCAACACTTAACATAGGCATAAGCACAAAGTGCTAGGAAACCCTCAGGTGAAGCAGCCAACCAGGATGGAAGGTGGATGGAGGTGGGAGAGGAGAGGATCAGGGAAGGCTTCCTGGAGGAGGTTTTTTAAACAAAGGCAAAGGCATTGGTAGGCATCTGACAAAGGCTACAGAATACAGATGCCCCAGATGAGAGAGACGACAGTAAATTCTGAAAGTCCCAGCAATTGGCAGGGCAGAGGCCGTGGGGGTGGAGGATGAGCTTAGAGAGCAGAAGGAGGCTGGGACAGCTCCTCACTGGAGGGGGGCTTGAAGGGGCCTTGAAGGATGAGTGGGATTTCATTTGGTGTGCAGAGCTTGTGCTCCAGTCTTGAGGCTCAGCATGAGCCAAACCTTGGACAGAAAGCAAAGCAGAATCCAGGATGGTATGGTGTGCTTTGTAGTCAGATAGTACTTTATAGTTAGACAGAACTGAGCGTTAGCCCACTTTTGTCACTTGAAAGCTGGGTGAATTTAGGAGTATTACATGGCTTTTCTGTGCCTGTGTTATCCTCAAATGGGGACAGAAACAACTGTGTCATAAAGTTGTTAAGAGAATTAGTGAAACATGGAATAGCCTGGCTGTTAGTAAATAGTAATTTTAAAAAAAGAAAAAAGAAAGAAACTAGCCCCGTCCTATAGAGCAGCTCATTTAATTCTTGTACCAAAGGGCACACAGGCGTGTCTTCCCCTCCCTTTTAGAGGGAGACGGCAGGCCCACAGTCATGCGTTCCTAGGAGGCAGAGTGGGTACCAGGAGCCAGTTGTCTGGGTGTCAGGCCCGGTTTTCAGCCGTCCCCACTCCCATCAAAGGACCTCGCATTTAAGCACACCTGACTCTTCCCCCTGGTTTGCCTCTTTTAGAATCTGCCTCGTTGGCTCAGCAGTGTGCTATTTTTATGCTTTAACATCTGGAGCATTTCCTGAGTTTGCAAAATATGAAATAATAGTACCAGAGTCTATCCACCCAGCTGATTGCCAGGTACCTGATTTTAGTTGTCAATGCGGTTTGCACATTTGTGTGAGAGGCACGCCACCTGCAAGGAAAGAAGAATGGAACTGTCTGGGTCTTGGTTTTGCTTTTGCTTTAAGTCACACCCCCAGAGGTGAGAACAGGATCCATCCCAGAGGCGATGAGAGGCTGAGCTACGTGAAGAACAACTGTGAGGAGGACACACCTCTGTTTGGGGTGTGCCTGGAGTGAGAGGGCCAGTGGGGACAGCACAGTCTGGGAGTTAGCAGTCTGGGTTTGCATCCCAGGAATGACATTCCTGGGTCTGTGACCTTGGCAGCTTACCTACCCTTCACAAGGGTGACCTTGGGCAGCTTAGTCCACAACCTTTCTTGGCTTTGTGAGAACCAAAGGCCCTAACCTATTTAAATTGCATCTGTCTCAGCAAATCCTCAGTGATGATTGACACCTTTCTTTGATGCAGGGTCTTCCTGGCCCAGAAGAATGATCCCTGAATTTTCCTTCTACAGTCAGGCCAGCAGAGCCGGTGCTGCAGGGAGGATTCTGGGGGTGACTCATCTCCATGCGTGATGTAGGATAGGTTTGTTTCAAGGAGGCTCAGTTCAGTTCTAGTTCTCAACTCCTGCTGGCCCAGCTCCGAACCCTCACCAGTCCACAGTAGTTATGCGTTTCCTCTCCCCACCCTGATGCCCAAGGCCCTCCAAATGATGTCCCCACTCGAGGCATGTCCTGGGCTCCCACATGGCTTCTCCCTGCCCATTAAAACGTATCTCCTGCTCTCCAGATCCTCAGCACCTGGCCCTCTGCTTTTCCTCCAGCCCAATACCTTCACTGAATGATAAAATAGTCTTCTCACTCTCTCCTGCAACTCCTACCTGTTTGTATTCTTATCAAGAGCTCTCTGAAATGGCCTTTTGTGACGCGGATGGATTCCCAGCTGGAATGGGGGTCTTTGAGAGGAAGGCTCTGCAGGTCTCTCAGACCCAAGATCCCCAGTGTGGGAGGCCTGGTGCTTCCTTGTCCCTCGTGCAATGTCCTTCCTCCTCTGCTCTGTGGTTGATCTGATGCCCCACCTGTAGGCTGGGGTCAGAGTTGCTGCTGGGTGAGGAGTTAATGAACTGGCACTGGAATTGGTTTAATTGCGGCAGATTTGAGTTGCCAAGAGTTGCTTTGTCTGATTTGTCACCACATAGCCCAGAAATTAAAAGCCAGAATGTTTCTCTCTGTTTTAAGCAGTTGCTTTTCTTAATCCACACTTCCCTAAGATATTAGCAAAAAGAAATATTTCTCCTTTCTTCCCATTTCTTCTCCTTCCTTCTACCAGCCTTTCCTCCATTAGTCAACACAATTATTGCAGGCCTGGTGGGAGCCCACCCCAGTACTGGGGGAGAAGTTACTTGCCTTCAGGAGCTGAGTGGACCAGGCTGGTACCCAGGATGACAGGAAAACTGATGAAGTGCTACGCTGTGTAAGGGTGATTGTAAATGAACAAAGGGTTCCTGGAAGGCTGGACTGATCAGAGAAGGCTTCTGGGAAGAAAGTAGAACTAGGTCCATTTATGACTTCCCATAGTGAAGAGGTCAACAGTGGCCCAGCATTGGCCTGGGAAACATTGCAGAAGTTGTGTCTTCAGGTGGACACTGCAGAGTGGGCTCATCAGGTATCAGTTTGGTGGCCACTGACCCCACAGAAGGAAGGAAGTTACCGGTCTAGTGTCTACGCTCTGTTACCGGGGTGTTGGCCTGGAGAGATAATGGCTTGATAGAACCAGGTTGAGTTTCACCCAGGCCTCATCTCAGCTTCCACTGCACAACTCCAAAGACCAACGCCTGAAAGGCAGATGGAAAGTGATCCTCTAGGGTTGAAGTTGGTGATGGAGGAAGGGACATCCATAGAGAACAATGAGCTTGAGAAAAGCAACAGGTAAGTAAGAATAAACCAAGAAATGTTTTATGGGGAGCATGCTATGCATAAGGCACCGCAATGCACCATGGGGAACTAAGTGTGTGAAACTGGTTTCCAGGTCCCACCTGACCCTATCCTGCTGTGTGACATTTCCTCTCTTTGGGCCTCAGTGTTCTCACCTGTAAAATGGGACGGTTGGACTCTACAATCTCTAAAATTATTTCCCAACCTGAAGTTCCCCTTTCAAGAAGTTTACAATCTAGCTGGCAAAAGAAGCTGTAAAGTTAATAGCCAGAAGTATGCATTTAAAGCTTTTTAATTCCAGCAGAACAGGAAGGGTTTGTAATATTCATTAAACAGTGCCCTGAAGTCCGTAAAGGAACAGAAGAAGACAAACAGATCTTGTCTTGCAAGATTCAAGGACAGTAAGTGAAACCCATGAGTAGTTAGGCATTCTTTAAGTCCCTGAGAGTTCAGGGTCAGACCTCACCATTCAGTGGTATGAGCATCTCATTCACAGATGGCCTTGTTCATGATGAGGAGCTGGGCAAAGATACACCCCCACATCTCTGCAAGAGACACATTTCATTGCCCAGCTGCACGCTAGAAAAACCTCACCCTGGAGGGGGTAGCCAGGCTTTTTGGACCAGGGGTAGACATCTGATCCAGGGACACCAGGCCATTGGCTAGGCTTGGACTTAAGTGGCCCTGGTTTCAGCAGATCAGCTGAGCCAATCAGAGTTAAATGAGATCATGTGTGTGATGCACTTAGCACACTGTAGGAACTTAGTGAAGCTTAGCTTTTATTTTTGGTTAGTATTGTTGCTGTTTTGGTTGTTACACTGGGGATAGGCTATGTGGGACCCCGGATGAAAATCTGACCAGTTTATATTATGTGGCCCAAAGGGGTACATTTAGATTTTTTAAATTTATTTTAAAATGATTGATTGATTGATTTGAGAGAGGGAGGAGAGAGATCAACTTGTTGTTTCTCTAATTTACGCA